GCTGCCACGACTGTGAAGTGGTTCAACAGTACGAAACCCTAGGCAGCGAGGATCTATTCGTCCACCAGTTCTTGATCAAGTCCAATGGCTTCAGATCCAGCCGATCGATTCGAGACTCTTCGAGCAGGAGCTTCAGATCCGTGAAGAGGATCTTCGAGCAGCGGTTCCCGAAACTCGTCGGTGATGGTTTTGAACGGCGACGACTCACCGAGCTCTGATACTACTGTAGAGAATCGTCGTCGCTGTTTGGCTCAGAAGCCTGCTTAATCAGTCCGATCTTCCTCTCTAGTGCACCACCGAGAACACAAAGGGAAGATCGCTGCTGGTCTTCTTCTCAATCACTCACAAAGAGGAAAGGGGAATCGCACAAAGGGAGCGATGGACGGGAAGAGAGGATCTCACAAAGCTAGGGCACAAAGCAAAGGGGTTTTCTTCTCTCTTGTCTCTTCGTCTTCCCCCACTTCGAGCTACTACCAGCCCTTCGAGTCAAATAGAAGGGGGTAGCCGACACGAGAGGGAAAAATCTAAGGTCTCGAGTGGTAGGAGCTGACCTACAGGAATGGGAGATGTGACTCAAAGCAGCAGCCATCAGGACACGGAGATGGAAGGGACTGAGTACCATCGGGTAGGAGTTGGGAAGAGGCTGAGTACCATCGCGTAGGGGAGGTTAGAGATGGGCTAGGGCAAAAGACAGAGGGGAGCTGGGCCTTTTGGTAACGAGCCAGATTTTGGGCCAACAAAATAGCAACACGGTCCACCCATCTTCTCATGTTATATCTGTAATTGCCTATGAATTCTCCGCAGCCTTCATTTTTTAAGAGAAATCCAACAAAATTGTTATGCATGCGAACCAATAACATCTTTATTTTGTGGGCTCATGAAAAATATTTGTCTGCACTAATTATAATTTGTTTATAATAAATGTGGAATCCACTGGAGGAAGAAATACAACTGGCCGGTCCACATAACATACCGTAGGATTTCTCTGCAATAATCAGGGACTTAATTAGGGGAATTGAACCCATTCGTTACTGGCCTCAATACTTGTACTTCCTTCGGGATTCTGTTTCGGGATTTCCTATTAATTCCTATATGGGTTTTTCTATAGAGTGCCCATGGGCACTCTATAAGAGAGGAGAGAGATAGAGAGAAGTGAATTGTCCATGAACCTTCCTGATTTGCACTAAATTCTATGAGCAATTCACTTCTTTTTATCTCTCTCCTCTCTTATAGAGTGCCCATGGGCACTCTGTAGAAAAACCCTTCCTATATATATATATATATATACTGTACAGGGGAAAGCGAGCGTGTCATCGCGATACGAATGTGGCGATCGAGCATTAATCGCGCGCTGTGCTTCAACCCAGCTTCCAAGCTTTACCACCGTGCATGCTGAACTTTTTTAGCCTCCCAAAAAACATGACGACGATGAGGATCACTTTCCCCTGTTTGCTCCACTTCCCCACAAACCCGATCCACGCATCTCTGCAATTCCCGTCAGGCTTCAGCTGACGTGCACAGCTATAGCCAGTTGAGAATCCCACATTTCCGTACGCGCTGCATCATTAATTGTGATCGACAACCCAACGATTAATAAAATGACAGCAGTGCCTATATATAGCCCGCAGGCTATATATATATATATATTACTTTCTCATGAAATTAATTTAGAAGATATGATTAATTCCAGACTTGTGATGTTTATATCAATAATTATCTATTAAAAAAAAAAAAGAGATCGATGTAGTTCATATGTGGAAAGGAATCTTGCCTGATCACTTCGAGGACTATGTTGAAGACATTGAAGTTTAGTGGGTCTTCAGAAAGCTTTTTCCTTTCAGTAACGCAAATGAGAATGACAAAGATGGCCAAGTATGAGAGTTGTGACATGACGAGACTCTTCACCAGACCAATGCTCTTCTTGTTTCCGGTGACAGCAGTGCTCGGCGCGCAGCTCTCGTCTTCTTCTAAGGGTGTAAATGTTGTGTAAGGAGGAAGATACCTGCAAGATCGAGCAAACGTTCGTGCACGCGCGTTACAAATTGTCATTTTATAGAATTGACGTGGAAACGAATTTGGCACGGACGGTGCCGCTTAATTTCAATGTATTTCTTTGCTATATATAACATGTGGATATCTTTGTTGACAATTGTTGTATGTCCTGTAATCGATATATATATAGCTCATGCTCTATTTTTTTTAATTATCTTTTTCATTTGCATGCAGTCAAGTTTCTTTTATCTTTTCACTCATCTGCGTGTTTACCTTTTTTTCCTTGCCAAACAGGTTTAAATCTCATGAAATGCGGCGCCTAACTGCGAGCAATCCGTTCACACGTACATCGCAAAGGTGGCGAGGAGTACGTAATTAAGAATATTGCTTATACCTGGTGTTCTAAAGATTCTATATTTTATTGTTCCTGTTGTCAAGAAATATCGCTGAAAGATTACTAGTTTTTATGTAGGGGTAGAATTTGGGCCAATTCCGTACAACCTTGTATAGAAACGATATATATGTTGTTGGACTGCCTCTAAATAATTAGAGATCCACGTACGTGACTGAGCATTAAAGAAAGGAAAACTCCTCAGAGACACTAAAATAGGGGACCCCTGAGGGGACATGTGAGGTGTCAGCCCCTGGGGGCTTGATGCACTGTTCATGAACAGTGCATCAAGCCCCCAGGGGCTGACACCTCACCTGTCCCCTCAGGGGTCCCCTATTTTGGGGTCCCTGTACCAACACCCTTAAAGAAATTAGGATTCGGATCCTCTCCAACTCCAATTAGGTGGCATTTAAAGAGTCTCCAATTCTTATAATCATTGCCCTACATTCTAAATTCAAGGTACAAGATTAAGTCACGAGATAATACCACTATGATATTTAAAATCAATCTATATTACTTATAAAACATATATAATATGAGTGTCAAAGCTTTTGCTTTTCCAAAATACCCCCAGCCTACTTAGGTATATCATAGTCTAATTAATTAATTATTTATGCTAATGAAAGATAAAAAAGATAGTATAGTAATTAACCTTCCAACTTTTTCATAATATTTTGGTTTAGTAAATAAGTTGTCCCCAATCATCTCTCTCTATCTCTCTCCTCTCTTATAGAGTGCCCATGGGCACTCTATAGAAAAACCCAATTAGGAAAGGGAAAAGAACATAATAATTATTATTATTTTATTAAAACATTTGATGACATAATCACTAAATATTATTCTCCACCAATCACCCTAACAAAACACAATTATGGTTGCATGACCATTCTCCATCTAATAAATATGTAGTTTTTCAAGTTTGGTTTTATCTCCAATTAAATCATTCAAGTTCCAATATATTCCTATTAGGCATTAAAAGTTTAAAACTCCGTCTATATTAGTTTCCAACAAAGAAAGCAGGCTCACAGAACGCAATTAATTAAAGAGAAGAAAAGTGAGGACAACAATCACAAGAGCGGCAAAGAGATCCACTGCATGCTACCTGATAGCATCAGAGAATTGGCCGAGAGAGCATGGGCAACGGATTTGTCAGACTAGAGGAAGTCGATCGCTTAGAGAGACAGTAGGGAAATAAAAAAAAACAAAAAAACAAAAACCCAAACTCATTGTACATAGTTCGCAATTTAACTAATGCTAATTTCTTTGATTATAACCAGGACCAAAGGAAGGAAGGAAACTATGTTATATAGGGGACTTAAACCAAACTGCTTTTTATTTGATGGGCATGTGCTTCCATCCACTCATCGAAGGTATAAGAATTAAGTATCTTCTATTAATTATTCTTTATTGTGTTTCATCTTTGAATTTGATTTTAGGGTTTTTTTTCTTCTCTTGTCCTAGTCTTGCTTTAGGACTCCAATAATTAGTTCTAATAATATAATTTAGTACACTAGAATTAATAATGGCTAGAAGTGCTTTAGGACTCCAATAATTAGTTCTACTGATATCATTTAGTACGCTAGAATAATGGCAAGAAGAGCTGAAGTGTTCAACTCTTTAGTGGTCATTATATTTAAAGCCAAAAACTATATAAAAAAAATACAGATTTTGAATCATTGGATATTCAATCACTTCGGTAGAGATTTACTTTATATAAAAACCTATATATGTTAATAGTTTATTATTAAATACTTTTATATTAGGATAAACTTCACAATAAACTTATTGTCTAAAATAATAATATTTTCGAATAAGATATTTCAAATATGTCACCATGTAAGTATTGTGAAAATATTTATTTCCTACTCCCATTTTGATGGACCTCAAAATCATAGTTTTTATATATTTTTATATTAGGATCATCAATAGTAGGATTATAAACAACAAATTAAGAAGCCAAAAGCAGGATCCCTTGGTGCTGATGGCTAAAAAGCAGGTCCTTTGTGATGCTTGTCGTCATCCATTATATATATATATATATATATATATAATATAAGGTTGTGATGCTTGTCGTCATCCATTATATATATATATATATATATATATAATATAAGGATTTTTTTAAAGTAAAAACTACGACAAACAATATATTTTATTAAACGGTTTTTCTATAGAGTGCCCTGATTTGCATTGGGATCCTCTCTTCATTTATTTCTCTCTATCTCTCTCCTCTCTTATAGAGTGCCAAGGACACTCTATAGAAAAACAGTTCATTAAAAACTATCATTTCTTACATAGGAACAAATAATTAGAAGATAATTAGGACTAGGCTAAGGCTTAGGCAGAAAAATTAGTGTTGAACAGTAATTCGTCTTATAATGCATAAATCAACGGAGCAGTTTTCCTTAGCTCAAACTCTGTGGCGTGAATCGGATGTTTTTGTAGTTTAGTTCCCTTCGTACGAGAAAGGCTCATCTATTTGTAGAAAGATTTTTAGAGGCATAATGTACATCAATACTGATCTTAATTAATTGCTAAATTTAAAATGATGGATGAGTGCGGTCACGGCTCATTAATTGCAAGGGGGACCCCCCCACCCCCCCACCAACACGTGGTGTCTATAATTAATACTGGAAAGACCTCTGGGTGGGGCTTGGTTGGTATCGTGACATGTATTTTGTGCGGGCATGATTTCAAGTTTTAAATCAATCCAGTTAAGCTGATCAGTTTAATTTTCTTTTTATTGAATACATTGGTTGCTGCTGATATATATCTACACACGCAGATCAAGACTTAATTATTATCCCACAATCCATCTAATATATAGGGCCCGTTTGGTTCAAGTTTTTTTGCTAGATTCTTGGGGCAGAAAGCCTGCCAAAGTGTCAACTTTTGACAGTTCTGCCCAAACGCCTATTTAGAGGCGTTTTGGGCAGAAAGCCGTCAAAAGTGACACTTGGCAGGTTTCTGCCCAAAAACCTAGAGCAAAAACTTAAACAACGCGGCCCCTAAGTGCCTGATGATCAGACAATTTAGAGTGGACACTAGGAAGGGATTTGGATCCTCTCCACTATAAAAAAAATAGTGGAAGACACTGCTTTTAATATCATCGTTGTTATTATTTAGTAGGCGGTTACTGATCAATCTAATCTAAACTTACATACCCCCCGTGTATTGCACCCTTCCTATTTGCACTACAAGATAAAATCACAACCATTAACTAGATAATCAATGGCCGTGATTTATGTGTGGTCCTCACTGTTTTTTTGTAGTGGAGAGGATCCGAAGAGCTAGGATCGATATATATACTTTGGAATGAAATGTTACGTATATATAACTATACCAATCTGCTTGCTTGATGATTAATAAAGGACAGTAGTATTCCCGTAATTAGAATATGAGCTTTGCTACAGAGACCCAAAATATGGGACCAATAGAGGGGCAAGTGAGGTGTCTCCCTCCTATTGGATAATGAGTGATCATCATTAATGATGACCAACTCATTTATCCATAGGAGGACATCTCACTTGTCCCTCTATTGGTCCCATATTTTGGGTCATTGAGGAATTTTCTTAGATATAATACTATATTATATATATATAATATATATATAATATATATATTATATATATATTATATATATATATTATGCTACATGACTTATTATCTTTGACTGGAAACCTTGCCAGTCAAGTACTACTTATACGGATATGGGGTGCCATATATAATTGTGAAGGGTGATCTACCTCGTTCCAGTTTCGCAAGTATATCGTTTAGAATTTTATTATATATATATTTTTTAAAAAATTAATTTTACTGTTTGAGGGGGGGGGGGGGGGGCGTTGCATCGGAGGCGCGCGTGTGTGAGAGATCAGGAGAGTAATTAATTAAGGAGAGGAGAGGAACTAACATCATGACGACAAAGAGGCAAGACGCCTGCGACAACGAAGAGAGATCGACACAGATTCCACGGTGTGCCTCGAGTTCACCGACAGAAACAACGCGGAGACCAGGTTCTCACAGGAACTCATCCCCAAAACCCGCAGGTTGCGAGATGCCATTGCCAAGGAGCAGATGACGACGACCGTGAATCACCACGAGGACCAGCACCGTGGTGGCACACAGCACGCGAGCGCGTGTGACGGGAGAGGGAGCAGGTGATAGTATCCAGTGCCGGCCCCCTTCGGGCTCCTCAACAGATACTCGTACTCGCTTCTCTTCGTCAATCTCTTCAGCACCCATATGCAAAATCTCAACAAGGGAGGGAACATGGTGTTGCCCGCTAGGACCTGGGGGACTATCAACAACAGCAAGCCCGAGTTCTTCTTGAAGGCCATCATGTTCTCGTTCGTAGGGATGAAGCCGCAGCTGGAGAAAGAAGATACGGTGGCGAAGACGGAGAAGGTCGAGACCCATATATCTTTCTTCCTCAACACCTCCCTCGCGCTCATCGATATCAACGTCACGTAGACCAGGATTGATATTGAGCCGGCTAAGTGTATTAGAAGGAGGTAGCCTATTAGAACATTGACCAAGCACTTGGCCGCATCGTACCTCGATGCCGTAGGACTACTTGCAGGGTGGGAGAACCGCCCCGGATTCATCGTACCACCGGATTCAAGATGATGATGGTGGTGGTCGAGGTCGGAGAGCTCGACTTGTTGTCGATTGGGATTATCGGGTTCGACTCGGGCCACCAGTCGCCGTTTAAGTTTTCGCGTACTGAAGTGGAGTCCGGCGGTGGAAGTGAAAACTTCGCCGCCTATGAGCATCAAGGCGGTGAGGACGACGAGCTGAGAGTTGGAGAAGACCTCCATTTCGATGGTGGACATGCTAGAGACAGTGGCGGCGGAGACGGAGGTGAAGAAGAGGTCGAGGTCGTGAGGAGGAGGAGGAGCACGTCCGTGAGGGTCTTTTAGGGGGGTGTGTCTGAGGGCCATAAAGCCCAGGAAGGAGATGGAGATGAAGTAGCAGAGGTGGGTGAACAGGGGGTGGGCATTGAAGAGGAGGAATTGGTAGGAGCAGTCGAGGTAGTATTTTAGACGAGAGAAAACAATGTGCATGATGTGAATGATCTCGTCGAAGATCAAAGGGATTAAACGACTACAGGAAGCCATAATATATATATACATATAAATGAGAAGGGATTTGTTTTCTTCTTGTACTTTTTTTTGGCGGAGATGGTAGACAATACGTGTGGTTTATATAGCAAATGGTCCTAGGCTCATGGCATGACCTTCCTCGTCATCAAGTAAATGTCTCTACCGCCATTAGTTAGTTAGTAAGTGGTTGTTGGTATTTCTTTCATTTTTTTCGGGGGAATTTCTCGGTGGAATTAAAAAAAATAAAAGAGGGGGAAAAAACATGTCGATGTCTTGATTTGTAAGTACCCATGGGAATCTCTCTACTTCAACGTTACGTGGAGTCGAGAATTCTAGTTTGAAGGGGGATGAAAGGAGACGAGAGGGACAATTTCCATACGTAATACCAATAAGAGAGTCTCGATTGGCGTCCAAATGTTTCCAAACTTCTTCTACGAGTAGGCTTGGTAAATAGGGAAAAAGTAGGGAAAATTGTCTCTAGCCCCCAAAACCAGTCCAAGTGTTCCACCCACCCCCAATACTTTTTCAACGCTCCCAAAACCTCCAAAAGTAAACTCATAATTCCCTGAGCCCAAAAACACAAAACCTAAGAGTTTTAAACATGTGAAGACCATAATACATTCTCTCTCTCTCTCTCTCTCTCTCTCTCTCTCTCTCTAAAATCCAACGGCGTGGGCCGCTCCACGTCGTCACGGTTCGCCTTCACGGTCTCCCACCTCGACTCACTAAAAATCTGGTACCTAAGCTCAGTAACTCCCACAACGACCGCAGGTAGCAGCCCTTCGCTCCTCGGCGTCTCCCCTCTTAACGCACGCTCCTACTCCTTCGCTTCGCCGAGAGCTCGGTCGACCCCCTGGCCCCACCAGAAGCTGCAGGGCACGCCGCTGTAGGCTGTCTAAAAATCACTACAGATAGTTTATCCCCATCTGACACTAATGATGGAAGTTACAATCTGACGACTTCTAGAAGGCTACAACTTGAAGACTTTCACGTAGAAGGTTACAATCTGACGACCTTTACAACAACTAATGAAAGCTCTAATTCAACAACCTTCACAATCAACATCGGGAGTTACAATCTGATGACTCTCATATTTTCAAGGAGCCAAGACGAATGTTACAAGGTGACGATCTTTGCAACGCTCTAGCGAAAGAGACTACAAATTGACGGTCCCTTCATATTAAAACGTAGATATCTCTCAAACCGTAAGGAATTTGGCAAAACTGACGGAGCAAACCAAACCCTATGGGGTAGGTTTGGTCGGCTCCGTCTCGTCGAGATAGCCGATGTTCATATATAATTCGTCCAATTCCGACTTACGGTTTAAAAGTTATGACCTGTTCTTCGCAGCAAGTTATGTTCTGAAGTCCGTCTGCAAGACTGGACTTCGTCTGAACATTGGACTTAGCCTGAAGCTCGCCGAGCCCGCCTGAGACTCACTTCTGCATCCAAGATTCGAAACGTAGAGGTCATGCCCGTGTTCTAAACTCAAAACACAGAGGTCGTGACCGCATTTGAGATTCAAAACGCAGAGGTCGTGGCTGCGTTCCAGATTCAAAACGCAGAGGTCGTGGCTGCGTTCCAAACTCGAAACGCAGAGGCCGTGGCTACGTTCCAGAGTCAAAACACAGAGTTCGTGGACTTAAAACGCAGAGTCCATGCAGAACCCAACTCTGCGTCTCAGGTCCAAAACGCAGAGTTCATCTCTGTATTCCAACTCTGCGTCTCAGGTCTAAAACGCAGAGTTCATCTCTGTGTTCCAACTCTGTGTCTCAGGTCTAAAACGCAGAGTTCATCTCTGTGTCCCAACTCTACGTTTCAGAGTTACAACGCATCGCGGCCTGTGCGTTCAGCCACCCAACATAGGCCCAACTCTGCGTTTTTAGTCTAAAACGCAGAGTTCGGGTCCAGAACGCCATTTTCGGCGTTTGACTTGTTCAAACACGAACCGAACAGTTCCAAGAACCGTTTTCCCCCCATGATTTGAGGAATTTTCGCCCCACTTAGGAGCAGATTAAGGGGGTAGTTACCACCCTTAATCCTCTATAAATACCAGAAACTCAATTGAGTTAAAGGATCAGCTTTTTGCATCAAAAACAGATCGCAAAAGGAGAGATCGGCAACCTCTTGAGCAGATCATCTTTGGATCTTGGGGATTTCTCGGATCTGGAGATCAGAAAAGGGGGGTCTTCGCTCAATCTCTGGAGCATTCCTTGGAGCTTTCATCCCTGGCTTATTAACCGATTTTCGGTTCAAATCAACTCTGTTACAGAGTTTAAACTCGTTCTGAGTTTCTAAACTCGATCTGAGTTATTAACTCGTCCAGAGTTTCAAACTTGCTTTGCAAGTCCTCCACAACATCAAATCGTGAGGAGAAGACCATGTTCTAGTGAATCAAGACGTTCGGATCGTCAACGGAGAGCAAACTCGACGCGAGCACTCGAGGGAGGCACTCCATCGCCACCGTGAAGAACCCAGTTTTGAACAAAGGGGAGAATCAAATTCATTCTCCTCTCTTTTATAATCGGAATCCAAATTGTAATCGATTTTGAGAGAATACAAATCAATTTTTCTTTCATTATTTCTTTTACATCAAATTTTCCACAAACAGCCGCGTCAGCAGCTGAGGACGCCGAGGCTGTCCTTCCTCCAATCCCCCTCGATGCTCTTCTCCGGGTTCAACAATAAAGAAGGCGGGGCCGCTAAGGGCGAGAAGGCGAAAGAGACATTTATGATGTATTTGAGGTTCCACCGGTGGCCGTATGACGAGATGGTGTACAGGGCGAAGATGTGGCCCCTGCTCGGCGGGCTCATGTCGATCATGTCACCTCACGAGAAGCAGCAGCGTTTCAGCGGAGGGGGAGGGAACGCGCAGCTGCAGCATCACCACAAGATTTAAGGAAACACGAGTGATAGAGCTCAACTTCTCTGTTACATGCAGTACATAGTTGTTATGATAATTTACCATCTAAAGAGAAGTATCAAGAGATTATCTACATAGGCTTAAAAAAGCCATGGTCCAAAACGGCTTTAAAGCACAGCCGAGGCCAAGTCTATCGTCCAGTCGAGCAGACGAGCCATCTGTCGACCAAGAGTCATCATGATCGACTCGAAGTGCGGGACCAGTCGGTCCCTCGCAATTAAGACGACTCCTCGAGCAGACGTCTTGACCATACACTCGACCCAAAGCTCACTCGACTATCGGGTCGGTAAGTCATAATGATGACTCGCAGATCAACCTACCTCGACTAAAAGGATAAGATCCGACCAAGCTCACTTCAGATGTCAATCAACACAACAACACTGATTAGTCCCATCGAGATCTCTGCTCTAACAAATCCCCTGCATAAGCCGCTTATTCTACTTACAAGTCACTTCTATGGGATCGCCATGATGCTCTTCTGGGCTCGAATAACTTTCCCTCCCATCACCAACCGCCATCTGGAGGGAGAAGGACGACCGAACAGTGGGCCTATCCTCTGCCATGTCTCATCTGTCAAATCCAGGATACTAAGAGGACACCTCTCTCCGGTATTCAAATGACTTCCCTTCTAATCGCCAGCCGACACCTGGAAGGAGAAGGATGACTCAACAGCCTATTTGCTCACCCTGCAACCGCCCTCCTGTGCAAAAGAAAAGCCAAAATCTCAGAGGCAATGGACTATAAAAGGAGGTAAGAAGGGTAAGGGCAGGGGGGAGGGAGAGCTCTGTTTCTTTTAACATCCGAACTTTACTCCCCCTTTATTCTTGGCATAAAAAGAAATTCACCTCTTATAGAGGACCCCCCTGCTAGGACCTCAATGGCCTAGGGACCTTCCAAAAAACCTCCCTCAAGCTCTCAAACTGACTTGACCGTCGGAGGTGCCACGTGGGAAACTAGCCTCGTACTCCTGCGATTCTCGCATGTGCAGGTTATCAGTCCACCCCGCGCGCTCAGAATCAGGCATAGAGTCGGAGGAGGAGTCGACCCACCTTTTATCCTCCCGGCCTCCATCATCAACGGAAGACCCTCATCGACTGTGCTGTGTTCATGGACATCAACAACATTGAAAATTTTAAGTACATAACTGTTAATTAAACTAGATTTTTGCAATGAGCTGAGTACAAGTGTTAGTAAGTATTATGATAATATATTACTCATATATATAGTATATTCTATATTATTCACTGATACATATATATATATATATTATATATATATAGTCAATATATATATATATATATAATATATATATTATATGATACTATATATATATATTATATATAATATATTAGTATATACTTATATACTAGTTTTGCTGACATGTGCCGCATCATGTCTCCGCGTGGCTTAATATCAAAGCATTATTATTTGTTCGTCTAATAATTTTTCTTAATCTACTCTTAATAATGTCGAGATATTGCATTATGATCCAATTAAAATCTACTAACATGGTTTGTTTACAAATTTCCATAAATTTTGTATTTTAAATAATTATTTGACAAATAGTTTGTTCTGAAATAGATGAATTAATATTTGGAAAATATTGCTTCGCAGCTTGAGAATAAATAACTAAGAATTTCTTCGTGATATGGCGGAATACTTAGGCTCTATGTGATTGTTGTGGTAACCACTTCAAGTCACATTTTTAAGAATTATTTATTCTTTATTTATGTTGTTGATTATCGACTCAGGTATCTTATTTATTAAATCTTAATATCGCCAGTATTGTCCTTACACATTTTATTGATTTATTGGAATGCTCAGAAGGCAAAGGCCCATGTGAGTGCTCATGCGTAATATGTTATTACGAATATTTTTAAGCTACAAAGAAGAGATGAGAGAATGGGAGGTCGTGTAATTTGCTGTAGGGAGAACTCCCTTTTCTCATGTGAGTTTTATATTGTGATTCATGTGCTGAGAATAACTTATAATAAAGATGGGAGATTTGGAGATAAGAATTCGTGGAGTGGTTTTGAAAATAGTGGGTGTGTATGTGGTTAATTACTATGCGTATTTTTTTTTATGCGTTTTCTTCGTTCATTTCAAGATATTTGTAGTCCTGACTGGAATAATAATACATTAGTTATAGTATGTTATATATTTAATAACTTATCATTTTTATATATGTATTATTATATATAATATATATATATATATATATATATGTATATAGTATATATCGATAAAAAATGGGTATGCTTGGTACCAAGCATAAAATATTTGTCTGCGTAGTGACTGTGTCTGCATCCTCATCCACTCACTTCAATTGGGCGGGACCATTATATCAAATAGGAACCCATGTGAATTATATTGGACAACGTTTGAATTATGGCGGATCTCTACATATTTGTTGAACAGTGAGTGGCGGATAACTATGCCACATCACTAATCAGAAGATAAATTGTTAGTGTGACTTAAAAGGCTCAAACTTGACATACCATATTCCTCTCTCTCTCATAACATCTACCTCTCTCTCTCTAATATCATATAAATATAGATATTATATTATAATATAATATAGATGTATTAATTATGAGAGTATAAAACAAATGTCCAACAATAATTATATTATAATTAATTGCTTTAAAATAATCTAATCTAATCTAATAAGAAGAAAATAACAAAGACAAATACATGTAGAAGGAGATAAAAGTGCTACGAAAATTGTTGTAGTTTCTTGGCATATAAACATTGGTATGTGATGTTGCATGTGAGAGAAAAACAATTGTAAATAGAGTTCTATTTAAATAATAATAGTATAATTAAACTTTGAAACTAATTATGTAGTGTCATGAACTACTTGAATTTTAGTTGGTGAGAGATCACCACGTTGTGTCCTTATATCACAACTGTTTATTTTAATTTTCCTTTTTTATAATTTTCAAAACGATTTTGTCTCTTTAATTTGTTTAGTAGATTTTGCAAATACTCCGTCCACATTATGTACATTTGTAGGTCTGCGTTGTTTTGGGGTTCGACCTATGCAGCGGACATTATTTGACTCACTAATTTGTTTGGTTTGTGCATATACGCCATTCATCTTGTATATATTTATAAATTTGGCATTTAATAAATTTATTTAGGTTTACATTTCAATTTAAACTATATCATTATCTTCATACTATGTATATCCAATATGAATTCATCAATTTATCAACTTACTCTTACTTAATGGATTAATTTGAATTTCAATGGTCTTTTTGTTTACCAAAATATTTTTCCAAACTCGTGCTTTTAAAGAGAGTATGATTGATTTGACCTAGTATTTGTTATGTGAAGAGTGGGAGATGGGGGACCTAGGAAGGAGATTATACACGGAGTGAAATGAAACAGATGGACGTTGGATGGGTTTGTGATAATTTGTTGGATGTATCAAGAGAAGCTCACTTGTCAAAAGTGTTAATGCACGAAAAGAAACTTTCCAAACTGCTGATTTTCTTCTTTATGAAATGTTTCCATTAGAAGAAGATCAAATTTTCACTCCTTAGAATATCTAAGTTTCGTGGGGACCACTTAAGGTAGAATTAGAGAAGTGTGAGCTATTTTCTATCTTGGTATGTGTATCTTTGGCACTATAACCTATTAAAGTTTGAATAAAACGTTTTATCTATGCCTTTATATAAGTGCACATAAACACCAAGTTATTGTTAACAATTTGATTATATAACGATTAATTTATTAATTTAATTAGAGTTACATAATTAACTATTTCAATTTTTATTTAAAACCACTCTAGATGAGATATAAACGTTATATGTAGCTAACAAGCACTAAAAAAATGTTTAATTATAATCTTATACTATTAAAAATCTAATGTTTAATATAATTTTGTACTATTATAATCTAATCGGAGTTGCATTATTACATAAATATTAATTTCTATAGTATATTAAAACATCATACACTTGATAATCTAATACTATTATAATAATTGATTTATTTATTTAATAATCTTAAGAATAACTATACTATAGTATAAACACTTAATTAATGTGATTTAATAAGATTGGGAGTTATGATCATAGAGTAAATTGGTTATATATATATAGAGAGAGAGAGAGAGAGAGAGAGAGAGAGAGAGAAATAGAGAACCTTGATACCAAGTTGCTTCAAGTAACTTAGTAGTGACGTGACCTAATCTGGCCCCTACATCACACCTCGAAGATAGAGCCTCAACTACCTTTCACCAACTCCAATGTAGATGTAGGGATCAGATTAGAGCACATCACTACCAAGTTGCTTGGAACAACTTGGTACTAAGTTTCTCCATTTCACACACACACACACACACACACACACACACACATATATATATATATATATATATGTGTGTGTGTGTGTGTGTGTGTGATGGGGTGTTCCCTGTTACTTACAAATATGATATCCCGAGAATAGACCCAGTCGAGCCGACGTCACTCCCCAAAGACGACTCGAAAGGCGGACTCAGTCGGGTGAAAGATTGCTACTCAGAAACCGGCCGACAATTCCCCCGAAGGCGACTCAGAACATTACTTGCCAGCATTATTTTACCATTTATGGTCATCATTACGACTCCACGTCACTCGCAGACCAGCCTCAACGGCTACTGATTCCCCATGCCACAGAAGTGACTCCACATCACCCACTGACAAGCCTCAACGGCCGCTGATTCCCCATGCCATAGAAGCCTCAACGGCTGCTGATTCCCCATATCACTAAAGTGACCCGCCATCACTCATCAACCAACACGAATAGGGCAAAGGATGACTCAGCCTCCAGCTCACCCCTCGTCATCATCATGAGCCGCCTTCTCACTAAATAGTTATTCTGCCCTTGGCATCCTCTATAAATACAAACACTATTCGTCCTGAAAAGAGGTTTGGTCTCTCCATCACTACCTAAAAAAAATTCTCTAGTTACATATAAGAAGAAGATACTATTCCTCTATTATCGGACCAAGTACACCAACTGACTTGATCGTCGGAGGTACTACGGGGGAAACAGACCCCGTATTCCCGAGATTCTTGTGTGTACAGGTGATCCGCCCACCCCGAGCTCTGAGAACCTGACATAAAGTCAAAGAAGGAAAGCGGCCCTCCATCCCTCTCGACGATCCAGCAACTCTGCAACCCCCATCGACTATTTGTTCACGAGCATCAACAGTTTGGCGCCCACCGTAGAGCTACTTTCCTCTTTTTCAGAAGAAATATCGAGTTCTGAGCGAGGAGTGGACCAATATCCTACAGGCGGAAGACTGCCCCAAGCAACATCATCAACTTCGTATGGAAATCCATCGTTTGACGCTTCAGCGTGCCCCGGTCGCTTATCACCGACAACGGCACTCAATTTGACAGCAAAGGTTTCCGCGACTTCTGTGAGGAATATAGTATTCACCTCAAGTTCACCTCGGTAGCACACCCAAAATCAAACGGCCTTGCAAAGGCTGCTAACAAATGCATGCTCTAAGCTTTAAAGAAGAAGGTAGACTCTGCCGTGGGACGTTGGGTCAAGGAATTGCTAAGCATTCTATGGTCATACCGAACAACTCATAAGAATTCAACTGGAGAGACTCCCTTTAAGTTAACATATGGAACTGAAGCGGTTACGCCAGTTGAGGTAGGCATGCCGACTATCCGACTACAACACTTTGATGAAGACCTGGGCCTAATAGGCCTACGAGTTAACCTTGATCTTCTGGAAGAAGCAAGAGAGAAAGTGCTGCGTACTCAGATCATTAATCAGCAACGGATCACTCGACATTACAACAAGAACATCCCAGAAGATTCACGGTTGGGGAAGTGCTGCGTACTCAGATCATTAATCAGCAACGGATCACTCGACATTACAACAAGAACATCCCAGAAGATTCACGGTTGGGGACCTTGTCCTTCGCAAAGCGGCCTTCGACAAAGATACTCGGCAAGGCAAGCTGGCTCCGAATTAGGAAGGACCCTATACGATTATGGAAGAGCTTAGGGCCGGCACCTACCGGTTGAGAGCTCCAGATGGACGAATCCTCAGTCACCCAATGGAACATTGAACACCTACGATGTTATTTTCTTTAGAATTCCAACTCAAATCTCTTGAATTTTGAAAATTTCCTAAGAAGAATGCATGCTTTAGATGATTAATATATCTGATAAAAGGGGTTTAGCTAAACTTTTGCGTCACCGTAACAGACCTAGTCAGCTAGGCACCCGACTCCTTAGTCGGTAAAAAGACCTCGATACCTCCTCAGGGTAAAACCAAGGCATAACCCTTCGGCCTACTCCCACAGTCGCCTCTCAGCCCTAGGGGAAAATGGAAGACCTAGTCAACTAGGCACCCGACTCCTCAGTCGGTAAAAAGACCTTGGTACCTCATCAGGGTAAAACCAAGGCATAACCCTTTGGCCAACTCTCACAGTCGCCTCTCGGCCCTATGGGAAAATGGAAGACCTAGTCAGCTAGGCACCCGACTCCTCAGTCGATAAAAAGTCCTTGGTACTTCCTCAGGGTAAGACCAAGGCACAACCCTTTGGCCGACTCCCACAGTCGCCTCTCGGCCCTAGGGGAAAATGGAAGACCTAGTCAGCTAGGCACCCTGTAGACATCAAAAAATGCTTACAGACATTCAAACACCACTCAAGACGATATAGAAGAACAATATACACGTCATCAAGCAACATATGGCGGCGCGGCAGGACATGGTGCCGCGGCTAAGGCGCGGCAGACCAAGGTGCCGCGGCTAAGGCGCGGCAGCCTATGGTGTCGCGGCTTAGGCGCGGCAGCCTATGGTGTCGCGGCTTAACCGCTGCAACCTATGGTGCCGCGGCAGTTAAAGCAGGATGCTACAGCAGTTATAATACAGTTATCTGATGATTATTTAAAGTCCACGTGGCGGAGTATCAGAAATAGAACGTGTGCTGATGTGGAAAAGCAGTTAAACCACGAAAAAGGTGGTTAAAGGTCGTGGGAGAACTGTTTCAAACACGTATGAACGTGGGTGTAACTGCCCCTTTAGCCGCGGCAGTGTCGACTGCCGCGCCCTTTAGCCGCGGCAGTGTCGACTGCCGCGCCCTTTAGCCGCGGCAGTGTCGACTGCCGCGCCCTTTAGCCGCGGCAGTGTCGACTGCCGCGCTCTTTGGCCGCGACAGTGTCGACTGTCGCGCCCTTTAGCCGCGACAGCATCAGCTGCCGCGCCTAAAGAGACAGTTATTGACCAGCTATTTCTTCAGTTATCGTCTAAGGAGGCTATAAATACCCCCCTATAGCCATCATTGACAGGGGAAATAAAATTTCCAGAGAGATTAGAGCAGAGAGCCTTGAGTTTTGGTGAATTAGAGCAAGAGAGAGAGTCTTCCTTCTTCACAAACATCCTCAAGAAGCTTCTAGCGAGTCCTAGAGATCTAAGCTCAGACTTGATCTTTGGAAGAGTGAACATCTTACATCGATAAGATATTCGCTTCAAATTCTTACTTCGATAAACGAAGGAAGAATCATTAAACCCCTCACGGTTCAATCAGAATCTGTGATTTGGTGGTCCACGAGTCAAAGCGCTCCCGGCACAGGCAAAGATCCCACGCAAGCAGCGATCCAAACAACGGTCCTGCGTTTGTTTCTCAAGAGTTGTAATTTTCCTTTTGTTGTGTAAAAGAAGTCTTATAAAAAGACTATCTCTTTTGAATTTGTTGTAATCGACCGAAGATATAATGAATTCCATAACAAAACCAACTTTTGACGCAAACAGGAATAAGAGAAAGAAAATATGAACCTAGAATGGTCGAAGATACAAAGGAGAAAGGAACGAATAATATCAGTATAGTAGGTCAATACATGCAACTTCTCATGACTTGACAAGTAGTTCCTCATTTTGCTTGATAGCATCATACTTTACAATCTAACTAAATTGTGAGCTGCAGGCTCATTCACGTGTCTCAGTTTTCCAACATGCTATCACCATCTGAACCCACTAGGCTCCTGCACCTAACCTCCTTCCAGTGAAATCGCTTTCCTCTAATTCTTGTGTAGCATATATGATGCTGAGGAGAACATTTTGGCCTCTCCCTGGACCTCCTAATTGTTTGATGTGAACAAAATTTGGCAGAAAAGTTTGATACATTCTCACAGCACAGCTTCCTTGGCCACACATACTTAACGCAAATATGCAAGTAGTTAGTTTAACTTTTAGATGATACAATTCTTTCCCACTAAACATCGAGTCCCTGTGTCCATAAGAAATACCAAAGATGTATACCTGATGAGGTAGCTCCATGCCAGTGTCGCCAGGGAATAGGTTGCACAAGATATTATTGTCAGGTCCTTCCTCTGTATCTTCAATTGCAACACATATAACATTTAATTTTACCAAATATTCAAACCTTAGGGTGATTAGCTTTGAAGGTTTAGCCTCAGTATCCTCATCATCATATATAAAGAGAATGACTTTAAGCGGATGTAATTGGTAAGTTCCTGATCGATCAGCATTCTCCTTAACCACGCTCTTCTTGGGCCTTTTTCTTCTCCTCTGCCCATCTTCATCATCATCAGGTGCATCATCTTCCAACCTGCTGGTTTCTGTATTGTTCATGGTACCTGAACAGAGCTTTCTGGTATCAATGTTTTGCCAATAAAACTGAACTCACAATACTATCTCAGTTTGCAACACTTGTCATTCTAAACATGCTAACAATTAGCAAGCTTACAAAACTAAATACTCAGTATGTAGGGTATCCCAGATTGCTTAAATATTTTGGGGGGAAATTAGGAGACTTTCCCACATTAAGTGCTTTTTATAACATATCATATGCTTTTAACATATCATAAGATGATCAGGTCCAAAAGAAAATGTCAAGAGTTCCATCAAAACCGAAAACTGCATATAGATATCCAATATCATGGACAGTACTAAATTCATAAATGGTTGTAGGGATGAAAATTGACAAAATAAGAAACATGATAGTTCTGAGATTTCTTTAAGATTACCAATGTCTTTATTTGCTTGCTGCTGGGCAAAAGTTTGAGCATCCTTTATACTTCCAACAACCTCCAATTCTATTCTCTCCCCAAATGCTTCTTTCTGAGCCAATAACTGTGAGTAAACTATATAGAGTGGTGGTGGAAGCAACTCTGCTGCAGTTTGCTGCTTCAATTTCTTCGTGTGCATAATTCCGAGCTGCTGCTGCACAGGCAAGGAAGCTTTCTTCAAAGATTTCAAGTGTGATGGGAGACTTGAGAGGAACTTCTTCCGGTTTGCTATGGTTTCCATGAGACCATTTTTATGTTGCTCCAGTTTCTCACGAAGTTTGCAGAGTTCTTTTCGCTTGTGCAAGAAAATACAAGGTTAGAGCTTTGTAAAACAAAATTGAAACAAACAGATGTGAAACTAGGAGACAAAAGCTATTACCAAAATTATATTACTTCTCAAGCTTTTAAAACAAAGCTGAATAGTTGGCAGGCGACAAGACTAAGCGCCACAACGACAAGAAACTAAATGGTGGAATCCATTAATTTGGTCAAATAGAAAACAAAATAATAAAAATAAAATTCTCCCATTGCCTGAAGACATTCATGTAATGCGTCGTTTGCTTAATAGAAGATTATTAAGAACTTGAAATTTCCATGATTGGAGAACTTCCTAGAGAATTTTTCAGGCCTTTTCAATTTAATTGGTAATGTTTCTGCCAAATAGGAAGTCTAGTGCATGAAACTTTTCTGTTTGGTTTGTTGGTTTGGAATGATTTAAATAAAAGAAGTGTAAAACTGTGATAACATCATCTCTAATCATAAAGTAAGCACTACCCAGCACATCGCACCTAGGCGGTCGCCTAGACAAGGCCTAGGCAGATTTCTTTTTTCGTTTACTTGGAGATGGAGGAGATTTTGCCGAAGGTTGGAAGAGGTGGAGGCGGCCACCGATGTAGGAAGACATGGAGGCAAGAACAGAGGAAATCAGACGACCTAAGCTTTGCAGTTCACATAATGGTCCATGCTCCCCTAGGTGCTCCCGAAGACCTAGGTTGGCAGCCTAAACATGACTGGGCCTAGGTGAGAGCCTAGACAGCTTTCTAACATACAGATTAATGATCCTACAACATTCAAATGCATGAAGATGGCTTCAGCTTCC